TGTTTTTGTTAGATGACCATTAGTACACTTTTCATGAGCATCTGATGTATTCTACTGAGTATTAAGAGTCTAACAATGAGCATCGTGATTTCTTCTTCATATCTTGTAATTCACTTTCTTTTTCTTATTTTTTCTTTTATAAAAACTTATTAAGATACATCTATAATGAACTTCTATAAATTAAACTTCAATATGCAAATTTAATGCAATATGGCACTTTTGATATATGCATTAATATGTCATTTTAAAAATGAGCATAGTATCAGTATCAAATGAACATACTCAACTTTGTTAGTTGGACGTCACGACATTTTCATTGAGCATCAAACTTTCTTATTGAGATGAAAATAATGCTTTCTGTTAAATGAGCATTAATGAACTTTTGATTAGCACTAGACCAATTCTGTTGAGTATTAGGAGTCTAATATTGAACATCACAATCTCTGCTTCATATCTTCTAATTCACCTTCTTTTTATATTTTTCTTTTAATGAAACGTATTAAATTATATATACAATCAATTTATATGAAGTTCAATATGTGAATCTAATGCACTACGATACTTTTGAAATATACATTGATATGACATTTTAAAAATGAGTATAACACCAGTATTGATTGAGCATATGTAGCTTACAAAATAAGCATTAACATGAAAATAATAAGCTTTGTTAGTTCATTTAGTTGAGCATCAAGACATTTTTCATCGAGCATTAAATCTCCCCTACTGAATATTAAAAGTGTGCAATTGAGTACCGATTGAGCATTCGTAAATATAAAATGAGCATTAGTAGGAAAATCATATGTTTTTTAGTTGAGCATCAAGACGTTTTATTGAGTATCAAATCTCCTCTGCTGAGTATTAAAAACATGCAATTGAATATCATAGTATGTGCTCTCATATATGATATATGTAATTAAATCCTACTTGAATCTAATGTAATATGCTACTTTTGAAATATGCATTGATATGACATTTTGATATGAGCATCATATCAGTATCAAATGAGCATACATATAATGCAGAAATAAATAAATAAAAACTAAATTAGAAGATTGATTGGAAAAAGAAGAAAAAACAAACTCAAACATTAACAAAAAAAAGTAAAAAGCAAGAAACTGAAAAGCGTGGAAAGTAAAGAGAAAACAAGAAAAACAAGAAAGTGGAGTAACTCAGTAAAGCCAAGTAGCGACAAAAAAACGGAAAACGGATGGAAAAGAAAGGAAGAGTGGCGGACTGGCGGCGGAAAAAGAAAAACAGCAGAAGCCTTCAGCCTAACCTTTATCCTAAGTTGGGAGTGTTTGCAATTGCTTCAACTTTAAAAAAGTGATTTTTTAAAGTGATTTGGGGAAAAGTGATTAATGGTAAAAGTTGATAGTGTTTGAGAAAAAAGTGATTCTGAAAAAGTAAAAGTTGGTAGTGTTTGGTAAAATAAGTACTTTTTGTGTAATAGAAAAAGTGAAAAGCAGTTTAAAGCACCCTTCCATCTGCTTCCAACTTTTAGCTTTTAAGTGATTAATTTAAGCAGAAGCTGTCATTTGAAAACACTCTTTTTAACTTTTTTTAAACCAAAAGTTGAAAAGTGCTTTTTAATCAATTGCAAACACTCCTTTAATTACAAAAAAAACTATCATGCTCTAGGTATTGTACGGTATATATTGGCCGTAGCTATAGGTCTGTAAGTAAGTGCTGCGATAGTGGGTGCATCAACCGATAGTGGGTGCATCAACGTTGTCCAATGAAAATTATGAATTATAAAATGTGGGTGGGTAGGAATGTAGGATAGTGAAAGGTAGTTATGGCAAATCAAGTAAAGTAAGTTGCCAAAAAGGAAAGCGTAAAGGAGTAAATGAAATGTTCCAAAAAAGAAAGTGTAAACATTTAAATCGGATTGAGAGAGTAGTGACTAGTAATAGTTTTTAAAAAACATTGGTAAATGTTGGGGGCAATAAAAAAGTATTTAAGATTACTAACTACAAAAAATAGTTGGGAGGGCCCATGGCCCCTGACAATCAAGCTACCTCTGCCCATGAACTTAGGTTAATGTAATAAATGTTGTTTAGATGAAAGTACTCTAGCTTATTTGATGTTGAACGAGAACATAACCTCCAAAATTCCCCACTTTGAAAGTTCTTCAATTTAAGGTGTTTTTAGGTTCTCGGGAGTTTGTACACACGTCCAGTTACCTGTGTACACATGCAGATTCTGAACGAGCTACCTGTATACACATGCAACTAGACGTGTGTACACAAAATGTGTACGAATTATGTGTACAAACAGTTTTTCCCTACTTATTATACACTTCCATTTTTATTTAATCATAGGTCCAAACACCTAAAATGATGGAGTAAAAAATACTCACTTCATGAAGAACTAGGGAGAAAGCATACTCTTGCATTTAAAAGGGAAATTACATCTCAAAGGTAAATTACATGGTTAATATCCAAAGAACTTTCAGCATACTATACGAATTAGAATATTGAAATAAAAAACGCTTTAACCAAACTAGCTTAATTATAATTTATAATACACACACTCACATAGCATGAGAAAATGAAACTTTACCAAACTATCATATAAAATCCAAACAAACACACTTTGAGTGTTGACAAGTTACGTACGTACTTATGCACTAAAGAAGTGCTGCGGTTAGGACTTGGCCCACCTGGCCTGGGAGTGGAACTGCCTCATAACCATAGAAAAAGTATACATCTAATTATTTGGTACCTTCCTTAACTCCCAAGCACTCTCTGGTCTCTACCCCTCCTCCCCCAAGACACACACAATTAAGGAAAAGAGAAGTTTGAATTGCTTTAGTCAGTTAGTTGCAAGCTGACTGATCTGTGAGTTACTTGAAATATCGCGCGAGCAAACAAGATAGATAGATAGATGAGGAAGGTGGTGTGGAGTGTCACGATGACGGTGGTTCTTGCAACAGCAGTGGTGGTTGCCGGAGGAGCAGATGAGCATCATGTGGTGGGAGGGGACAGAGGATGGGAAGTGTCAAATGACATTGCTTCTTGGTCATCTGGCAGAACCTTCACTGTTGGTGACTTTGTGTGTGAGTGTTTACTCTCCTCCACCCGAATATAAATTAGTCTATCTTTCACTAAAGCTTAGATTGTGTTCTTTCAAAGTATGGACTTAGCAGTTAATTGTGTGACTGTTGAACAGGGTTTACATACTCTGCAGCAGAAGAGAGTATCGTCGAGTTGGGAAGTTTGGAGGAGTACATTTCATGCGATCTGAGTAACCCCATCAGATTGTATACAGACGGCTTAGATCAAATCGCTCTGGAGGGAGAGGGGACTCGATACTTCACGAGTGGGAAATTGGAGAGCTGTAAAAATGGCCTCAAGTTACCGGTCACAGTCCGATCTCGAGAGAAGAGACACAGTCAAAGAGACGATGCAAATAGTTCTCCATTGCTCCTCCACGCAGACGGCCCGGCTGCACCATCTTCATCAACACGTTTGAATGGGCTCTTGCCGAGTTTGCTCATTGGTCTTTTTCTTCTTGCCATATGGTTCTAGCAAGTTTATATTTAAGATTTCAGAGTAACAATTTCAAAGTGTTCATCTCAACAATTTTAAAATTATTACCTCATTAAAAATAATGAACAATTTGATTCTTTTACTCGTTTCCGATAGTGGCAGTTGGTTATGCCAATAGCCAATGCACCGGGTCGTGTAATGAACCTTTTATTCTTATTGGTAAGCCTTCTTGGAGCATGGTACATTGATTGTCTGTAACTGGCGCTTTTATAGTATATCTTATTATTGACCTACTGTACCAATTCCGCAATTCACTAAAGCCAGTGTCGCGAACAAAAGTTCATTTTGAAACGGAATGATTTATCTATCACATAGCATAGTAAAATCTGAGGAATAATGACCAACATTCAGAGCAGGAAATATTTTCCCATTAGAAAAAACTTTTTCACTGATTATTTACACTAGGGGTGGGCAATTCGGTTTACGGTTCGGTTTTCTTCGGTTTCGGTTCGGTTTCGGTTTATTCGAGTTGGGAGAATTTGTACCAAATTAAAAACATTTGTGTTTCGGTTTGGTTCGATTTGAAGTTCGGTTTACCAAAGTAAAAAAATATTATGTTTAATTTAGTTTGATTTGATTCGTTTGATTATGTTTATTATTTTATTTAATCAAGTTCTATATTTTAAAATTAGAAAATGAAAGTAGTAGTCCATCTCATCTTTTTTTAATTTATTGATTATTTAAATAAAATGTAAAAAGAAATAAACGATAGAAAAATAAATCATTGTTTAGCATTTATAATATCACATAAAATATTCAAAAAAACCTAAAAGAGTCGGTGGTACAAATGTTGTAATATTCACAATTTTATTCAAATGAAGCAAGTAAAAAAATAAATGCAATTTGCTATTGTTATCGCCAAACATAATAAATACAAATATGTCGTATCAGCTAACTTTGTCATAATGAATGTATGAAATGTGTAAAATTTATAATGATACGAGTATATGCTTAAATATGTATTTTCATGTCTAAATTATTTATTTATATCTTAAAAATGAAGAGTGAAGATAAATACAAAGTATATATATGTTGTTCGGTGTTCGGTTTACGGTCTTTTCCGTTTTAAACCAAACAAAACCAAAGCACCAAACCATTCGGTTTGAGCAAATGTTTACCAAACGGTTTACTTAAGTATACCCAAACCAAACCAAATCAAACCACCAATTTTAATAATATATGAAAGTTTTTTTTGGGTTTCTTGAGTTCGATTCGGTTTTGTTCGGTTTTTATCAGTTTCGGTTCGGTTTAATACGCTTTGAAAGAAATAGTACCAAACTCAAACCAAATTGCATACGGTCCGGTTTCGGTATGGTTTAGTTCGGTTTGGTACGGTTCGGTTAAACCAAACCGTTATGCCCACCCCTATATTTTACGCAATTGTGGAATATGGCTTCTTGTATTCAGAACAGGGAGCCATTTTCGTGAACCAGATTTATTTCTAAATTTTTTAGGGTAATATGTATACATCAACTATTGAAATCATTTGAGACAACTTATTTTCCTGCAATCAAAAAGTTGATAACAAAGCAACATTCATTCTGTATGTTGAGATTTAAAGTTGCAATAACCAACTGAAATTTAAAAAAATGCAATGCATGTATAAAGTCAAAGTTAATTCCTTCTTTGTCCATTTCTTTACTCTCCATAATGTTTTTTTTTTACAAAAAACAAAGAGTACTTCATGCTTGACCCTCTTGCATCTTGCGCTAATATCATCAGTTGAGGTTGGAGAACTCATCAAGTGAAAACCACAACTCTGGCCTTACTGGTTAGTCCTGTCAGAAGGAGAAATGTAAAATAACCAATAAATAGCCCTTTGGTTCTGCAATTCAATGCAAACCTTTAAAACAAAACAAAAAATCACCTCTCTCGCAAGACTACATAATTAGCAGTTTCGGTCTTCTGTATCCTGGAGATTCTCCTCAATACAGCTGCGAAAGTGTTCTTGTCCTGATTCATCAATGTCACAAAATCCAATTTACAAAAGGCATAAAGCTTACAGTATCAAATAACAATCATAGGTGCCTCTGTTGGGCTCATCAAGTATCAACTTTTTGTTGAAGGTCCTTGACTATGACATTTATATCCTGTTTAGTCCTCGTACATTGTTTCATATTTGGTTCTACATAAAAGGATTATTTTAGTTTGTTCAACAATTTTAATCCCAACTTTCTACTCAGTTTGGAACTGAACTATGCAAACCAGATCCTCCAATTTAGACCTTTGTACTAAATTTCCCTTCCTAATTTCAGTGAAGTATGAGTGAGAAGTAAGACTGGGAAGCAGCAGTCCGTGCAATTTTCGAGCGACTTTCATCATGGTCATCCAGAAACAGTATCCGTGCTTTAGTACAGGGGTAAGGCTACGTACATCCGACCCCCTTACCCCACCGTTGGTGAGAGCCTTTGTGGCACTGGGGTAATCAAGTAATGCTGTTTTTTTTGTATGAGTGAGAAGTAAATTGAGTCAAATTGCTTAGTCGAGTCCAAAAAAAATTGCACTGCCAAAATGAGTAATAATGTATGATCAATGGACCGATTCAGGTACTAGCTATTTCTACAAATCCTTGCCTAGTGAGCTAGACTACGGCATACAGACTATTCTTTTTTAGAACTGTGGTCCAGATAGATGTTGTGTTTTAATAGATAAGAGCACAAAATGACAAACCTCTTTTGTTTTCAGTCGAGATTTAAATTGGTTGACAAGATCCTGAGTGGTAACTGGCCTTTGCTGCAGCAAAACAGCTCTAATTTCATCTTCAGTCACTGGTGTTGGAGCGGTTCTTGCAGGTGGCTGTGGGGTCAAAGATGATGATGATGTCAAACTGTTGGGGATGCTACTGTTATTAGCAGCAGGTGGAATAGCTTCTTCTTTCACTGGCTTCACTTCCTGGAACTCAAAATATAAAGGGGATCAACCGACTAAAATAATGAACACATGTTGTCCATAGCTGAGTACCCCACACCCACATAGAAAAACGACATAGCAATGACAGATTTCATTTCTATTAATTTATCTTTGGATTCTTTGCTATCAAAGAGTTGTTAGTTTGGTAAAATTATTTACAGATATCTTTATGCTTTGCATTTTTTTGATTGATTTAGAATTATTAACGCAATCCCTTTAAATAGGAAGCATTATGTAATTGAAGGGAACTTGGTATTGAATAATAAAAGTTCATACTTCATGGTAACCCCTTCAGTTGTCCAACAAGGCTGGGATCAGTTGTCTAGTAGATGTGAGCCTGACATATAAGTTTATTGCGCAATGGGGCTGGGATTGGGATGAAGGGTTCATAGGAGTGTAAGGTTAGCCTCGTATTTTTAAGGATCCTTTTTGTTTATTTAGGTGAAACTGACCTCTTTAAACAATAAAATTAAGAGCTCCAACATGTATAATATAGGTTGTATAATGAACAAAGGTAATCATACTGTTAATAATTGTGCTAATTTTGAAAATTGCCAACAAAACAACCAGAATTACTTTTTCTGGTTTTCCTAATAAAATTTCATTTAAAAAAAAAGAAAAAGAAAAAAAAGCAAAAAACTTAGTGAGCATAAGTGCATAACCTAAGTTATTAGGCATCCAACACCTTAATGTCAAGGCATACCGTTTCTGTTTTCGCTTTTTTTGAAGCAGCAACATTTGCAGATTTTGGTTCATCCACACTGGCTTTTCTTTTACCCTTCGTTGACTTCAAAGCTGATGAGCCTGCTCGAGTGGAACTCGAACCATGTGGCTTCCCTGGACTGCTGGTCTCAGCTTGATCCTCTTTTGGAGTTACTTTCAGCTTTGGAGCCAATACAGGTGATGAGAAATCATCTTCCTATAATAATCATTTCCCGCCCAGGGAGGAAGAGACAAAGAAAGGAAGTGAGAACTTTCAAGTGGAAGAATACACTGCAATTATAAAAATGAGATGTGTGTGCGCGCGTGCACGTCCCTATACTTTTGCATGTACATGTGGGTGGGTGTATATGATAGGAATCTGGGCCACCAGCCCATCCGGTATTTTAATAAGGTTTATCAAAGGAGAAATAAGGGGCTAAGGGGGGTAAAATAGAGATTGATCTATCCAGGTGGTCCCTGCGTGGACAGTTACTATATATAGTATGGTGAGGTAGCTAATAAAGGCTAGGTTATGATTTATCTGAATGATTGCCTTGTTGCCTAAGTCCCGGTTACCCTTGTTGCCTACGGTTTACCTATTCCTATAATAAACATTACTTCCCTATCAACTCTATCAGATCTACTCTTGCTTATTTACTGTTAGTACTCAGATTATCGCCAGATTATTGCCAGGTACCTATCATTTGGTATCAGAGCATCACCGTTCCTGGAGATCGGACCTGGAGATCGTCTTCAACCAAGCTGTCGTCTAGAGGTGGATGGTCAAAACCAGATCTAGAATGGAACATCGAGTGGATTCGTTGGAACAAGAGATGAAGAACGTTGTGGCTACTCTCACAGCCTCTATGGCTTCGATGAATGAACAGTTCCAGAGCAATCTCGCGGCTTCGATGGCTGCGATGTCTGAGCAGATCCAAAATCTTCGCGATCAGCATAGGGGAAGATCGCGATCACCCCACCTCTACCGATCTAGGTCACCGCACAGCCCTCCACAATCCAGAGGTAATTCCGTTCATTCCCCAGCTCCCACTCGTAGAGTTCATACTGGCCGGAAGGTGGATTTGCCATTGTTTAATGGAGTTGGTGCCTATAACTGGTTAGTAAGAATGGAGCGTTATTTTAGATTGAATAAAACAGAGGAGGAAGACAAGGTGGAGGTTTCAATGGTGGCTATGGATGATAGGGCCTTGAATTGGTTTCAGTGGTGGGAACAACAGGCAGAGGAGATGACCTGGGAAAACCTGAAGGACGCTGTTATCCGGAGGTTCCAACCTGACTTATTACAAAACCCCTATGGACCCATGTTGAGCCTGAAACAAACTGGAACTGTGGAAGACTATAGGGATGAGTTTGAGATGGTAATCGCCCCACAGAAAAACATGGACCGAGGGATGCTACGAGGCATATTTATCAATGGTCTCAAGGCGGAAATTAAAGCTGAATTGAAGCTTTACCATACCAGATCTCTGGCTGCTGTCATGGATAGGGCAGTGTTGATTGAACAGAGAAATGATGCAGTTTATGACAAAGGAAAAAGGGCAGAGAAAACAGATGGGAAGGACAAAGGGCACCTGCCTTACAGACAGCCATCTTGGGGAGAGGGTTATAAGGCAAAATTTGGAAATTCTGGATCCCAGGCTAATAGCAGGAACATGGCAGACTCCCGGACTAATCCAGCCTGGTTCAATCCCATGGGGAAGAAGACTAATGAGATCAATACTTCCAGTATAAAGCGGGTGGGACCCCAACTCTCTCAAGATGAATACCAAGATAGGAGTAGAAGAGGATTGTGTTTCAAGTGTGGGGAAAGATGGAGCAAGGAACACACCTGCAAACTAAAAAACTACAAACTGATATTGGTAGAAGACTCGGATGAAGAAGAGAGATTAGAAGAGGCAGAAAGGGACAATTCAGAGGAAGAGGAAATAGTGATGGAAGCTAAATCTATGCAGCTTTCGTTAATGAGCAAGGAGGGGATCCCTTCTATGAGGGCTTTCAAGGTCAGGGGTGTTATAAAAGGAGCATGGGGAGAGGTCTCATTGGAGGTGTTGATTGATAGTGGGGCTACCCACAACTTCATAGCCCAAAGAGTGGTGGACCATTGGAAGATACCCTACAATACTATCTCTGGGTATAGGGTGCAAATTGGGAATGGGGACAAGCTTTTAAATAATAGAAGGTGTGAAAATCTGGAACTAAGCATGCAGGACACCAAGATTCAGCAGGATTTCTACATCCTGGAGCTAGGGGGCACTGACATGGTGTTGGGAATGGAATGGTTGACCACTTTAGGTGATGTGGAGGTCAATTTCCAAAAGCAAACCATAAAATGGAGGGAACTGGGAGACATGCAGCAGATACAGGGGGATCCACAATTAAACTCTTCTGAAGTCTCTTTGAAAACCTTGGTTCAGATATTAGAAGATGCAAGAGATGGATATTTGGTTTACTGTGAAGGGCAGGCTGAGGAAATTGAAGAAGAAAGTGGAGAAGATCAAATCTGGCAACAAATTATAGCTGAATTTCCTGAAGTTTCCAAACCTTTTAAGGGACTGCCACCCAGAAGAAGTTGTGATCATGCTATACATATTCAGGAGGGAGCCAACATCCCTAATATCCGACCATACAGGTATCCTCAATATCAGAAGACAGAGATTGAGAGAATCATCAAAGACATGCTAAATGAAGGTATCATACAACCCAGCAATAGCCCTTACAGCAGCCCTATTCTATTAGCAAGAAAAAAAGATGGGGGTTGGAGACTTTGTGGTGATTACAGGGCTCTGAATAAAATCACAGTACCTGACAAGTTTCCCATACCCATAATTGAAGAGCTTTTGGATGAACTGGGAGGAGCAGTGATATTTTCCAAGTTGGACCTAAAATCTGGTTATCACCAGATTAGAATGAGAAAAGAAGACATGCAGAAAACCGCATTCCGAACTCATGAAGGACACTATGAGTACCTGGTTATGCCTTTTGGCCTTACAAACGCACCGTCTACATTCCAGGCTTTGATGAACCAGGTTTTGAGACCTTATTTGAGAAAATTTGCCTTGGTGTTCTTTGATGACATCCTCATTTACAGCAAATCAGAAGCAGCACATCAAGAACATTTAAGGAAGGTACTCCAGACTCTGCAAGATAACCAGCTGGTGATAAATCCAAAAAAATGTTCATTTGGGAAAGCTCAGATAGGCTATTTGGGCCATATTATATCAGGCGAAGGGGTTGCTGCAGATCCATCCAAGATAGAAGCAATGGTGCAATGGCCAGAGCCCAAAGATCAGAAGGGGCTCAGGGGATTTTTGGGAATCACTGGTTATTATAGAAGATTTGTGCAAGGGTATAGTCACATTGCTTTACCTTTGACTCAACTTCTTAAGAAAGACTGTTTCCATTGGGGGCCTTCTGCAACTTTAGCTTTTGAGGAATTAAAGAGAAAGATGACCACACTACCTGTATTGGCTACACCCGATTTCAATAAAAAGTTCGTAGTAGAGACTGATGCCTCCGGGACTGGACTGGGAGCTGTACTGATGCAAGAGGGGAAACCAATTGCGTACATGAGCAAAGAATTATCAAAAAGGAACCAAAACAAGTCAGTTTATGAGAGGGAACTGATGGCCATTGTTTTGGCAGTCCAAAAATGGAGGCCCTATCTGTTAGGAAGAGTTTTTGAGATCCACACTGATCAGAGGAGTTTGAGATTCCTGACTGAACAAAGGCTTTTGGGCGAAGAGCAGCAAAAATGGACTTCCAAGCTTATGGGGTACAACTTTGTTATCAAATACAAACCTGGGGTGGAAAATAGAGCTGCAGATTCTCTCTCCAGGAGACCTTACCTACAATCACTATCCATTATCACTTGTCAAGAATGGGAAGGACTGGAGCAAGAACTGAAAGAAGACCACAAGTGCCATGCCCTTCTGCAGAATGTAATATCTAAACCAGATCAATACAAGGAATTTCAAATTATCAAGGGATTTTTATACTACAAGGGGAGGTTAGTATTACCCAGCACATCCCCTAGAGTCAGAAAAGTCCTAAATGAATATCATGATTCTGCTCTTGGAGGTCACTCAGGATATTTCAGGACAATGAAGAGAATCACTAACCTATTCTATTGGCATGGGATGAGGGGGGACATCAAAAAGTATGTGGAAGAATGTGCCATTTGTCAGACCAACAAATATCAGGCTTTAAAGCCAGCAGGTTTACTACAACCTCTGCCCATTCCCCAGAATGTTTGGTCTGAAATCAGCAGGGATTTCATTGGCGGCCTCCCTAAATCGCAAGGGAAAGATACCATACTGGTAATTGTGGATAGATTGACCAAATCAGCTCACTTTCTGGCCATATCCCATCCTTTTAATGCAAAAGAAATAGCTGAGCTATTCACCAGGGAGGTCGTGAAGCTGCATGGGTTCCCCAAGTCAATAGTAAGTGACAGAGACAACATTTTTATGAGCAATTTTTGGTCTGAACTTTTCAGGCTGTCTGGAACACAACTGAAATATAGCACCGCTTACCACCCTCAGACAGACGGGCAAACTGAGGTGGTAAACAGGTGCTTAGAAACCTATCTCAGATGTCTGACAGGGAAGAAACCAAAACAGTGGGTTAAATGGTTGAGCTGGGCAGAGTTCTGGTACAACACCAACTACCATACTTCATTAAAGATGACACCATACAAAGCTTTGTATGGACAGGACCCACCTCCAATAATCAGGGGAGACACTAGTTTGACAGCAGTAGAAGAGGTGGCCCAACTGACAGCTCAGAGAAATGAGATGCTTCATGAATTGAAAGACAATCTAGCAAAAGCCCAGAACCAGATGCGACAACAAGCTGATAGGCACAGGAGGGAGGTGTCATTGGAAGTAGGGGACAAGGTATATTTGAAGATTCAGCCATATAAAATGAGGAGTCTAGCCAGAAGACTCAACCAGAAATTAAGCCCTCGTTTTTATGGCCCATTTGAGGTGATTGAGAAGCTGAGCTCTGTAGCTTTTAAACTAAAACTACCTGAGGACAGCAAGGTGCACCCAGTCTTCCACATATCACTATTAAAGAAAGCTATATCCCCCACTACTCACTTTCAGCCATTACCCTCCTGCCTTAATGAAGAATGGGAGCTCCTGGTATATCCAGAAGAAGTGTTAGACTCCAGAATGAACAAAGAGGGGAAGATAGAGGTCCTAGTTCACTGGAAGAACATGCCTGCATTCGAAGATTCATGGGAATTGCTGCAGCCTTTAACAGATAATTTTCCTGAGCTTCACCTTGGGGACAAGGTAAATTTTCAGGGGGGGAGTAATGATAGGAATCTGGGCCACCAGCCCATCCGGTATTTTAATAAGGTTTATCAAAGGAGAAATAAGGGGCTAAGGGGGGTAAAATAGAGATTGATCTATCCAGGTGGTCCCTGCGTGGACAGTTACTATATATAGTATGGTGAGGTAGCTAATAAAGGCTAGGTTATGATTTATCTGAATGATTGCCTTGTTGCCTAAGTCCCGGTTACCCTTGTTGCCTACGGTTTACCTATTCCTATAATAAACATTACTTCCCTATCAACTCTATCAGATCTACTCTTGCTTATTTACTGTTAGTACTCAGATTATCGCCAGATTATTGCCAGGTACCTATCAGTATATATATATACATGTGTTTACAATGTATTTACAATGTATATATAAGTATATATTAATGCATATAATGTAACATATATGAACTCTAAGGTTACCTCATCATCGTCATCATCATCCTCTGGATCTGATTCATTCATCCCATTAGCTTTTCCTAGAATTTTCTTCAACTCTTTACCTGATTCGCTCAAACCCCCTCCTCCTTCCCCATCAGCTTCATCCTCATCCTCATCATCCTGAAACAAGAATAAAGGTGATATTCCTATGTCTCCAAAGCATATTGTAATTAAAAGATTAAAAAAGGATTTAAGCAATGGAAGAGCTGTTGTTTACATGTAAAAACTCACACCTTTAATTATTCAATCACAAGTCACAACTACCCACAATTGGTGTGCAAACATGTAATCGTTCGACTGCTGCTTAATTCTTTTGGTAGTTATTTGATCATTTTTGCTTTTCATGTATTCCTGGTTATTTTGTATTGCCTCCTTTGGACAATTAATTTTTCATTTTTTGATTATTATATTATCAAAGTTACGGGTTCAAGTCTTGGGAGCGGCCTCTTGTTAAAATGAGAAGGGAAGGCTTGACCCTTGTACACCCTTGTGGTGGGACCCTTCTCCGAAACCCTCCCCTTACGGGAACGCCAATGTGCACTGGGCTGCCCTTTTGTGTATATGATTATTACAGACAAAGCACTTGTTTGCACTGGGCTGCCCTTTTATTATCAGAGTTATAGTGGAATGAAACTTATAGTGTCAACTGATATAATTCAGTTCACTATTTTTTTAATTATTGTTACTACAATATATTTTGTATCATTAAAGCATAAACATCACCATAAAAATTTCACCACAAATAGCAGAACATGATCATGACTTCTTTTGCATTCGTGATTACAAAATATAGTAATAATACGGAGTAACAAAGTCAAAGCATGATACAGAGTGGTGGTATGGTATTGTAATTCCTGATTCAAAATTTCAGCTCATAAACTTTTAGCATGAATAAAAAAAATCAATGAAGCAAAAATCATATATTACCAAAGCTCTCACGAAAAACAATATTATGTGTTCCATATCAGAGTTATTTATGAAATGCATCAGCCTAGGCCCAAGCACATTGAACTGTTAAAAACTTAAAGCTTAAAGACGTAACACCTTTATAAGCACCCTCTTCTAGACCTTAGCAAGTTGGAGGAATTCAGAGAGAAGCGGAAGAAAGTGGGGTAGTGTTGTTTTCTGGTTGAGGGTTTCAGTGGAGCAGGGGGGGGGGGGTATGAACTCCTTCAAGCTTGTACTCCCCTGATTTGGCGTATTCTGGAGGAGTGATCATTCTTGTTAATTTCATTTCATCTTTCTTATCATCAAAGTTGTTCTAAATCATTATTATGTTTACATAGATATCATATAGTTACAACAAAAACCATATCATATGAATTCATTTTCTATAAACAATTATTCCTCTCCACTCTTCAATTTAACCAACCATAACACCTTTTCATGCTCATCCACTTTCCACCCCTCTCCATATCTCCATTTCTCCTCCCATCCCATCCTTTGAACCAAACAAGGTGTTAATTCTCATCAACTTCAGTATCATAAAAATCTCGAGGTCAAATTTGCACAACAAACCTGCTTAATTTCCGGAGGAACGGGGATTTCAGGAGCCAAATCTTCCCTTTCCTCCGGATCATTTCCAGGAGCTTCATCATCATCTGTGAAAATTTCTTCATGCTCCCAATCATCACCTGTGAAAGGATGTAAAGAAATAAAGACTTCATGCCATGAAGCTAAGAATCAAATCAAAGTTCCCTTTGGAGTGGTAAAAAGTAACCTCATGAATAAAGGAATAAAAAACTTTAAGCAATTGCATAAATTTAATGTTCTTAAAAAATTAGTGTGTAGGGAAAAATACACAAAGAATGTACAGTAGTAAATCCAAAATAACCTCATGTTCAATGAGATTGAGGGACATATAAATGGAGGGAATATATAGGGTAGTATACTAGATTTATTATGATGCACAATAACTAAGATGATAAATGGACAAATATATCATTTGAAACTGTTAAATCATAGAACGTAAAGATCTAGTTTAGAAACCTTAGGGTATGTTTGGGAGGTTTGGAAAGTAGTTTTTTTTCATTTTCATAATACACTGCTTTAACATGTTAGAGAATATAAAAGGCAGGGGTTATTTTTCATATAAATTTTAGAAATTATCAAGCTGAGACTTGGAGTGTATCTAAATAAAACCGTACTAGTACTTAATTAACAGAAACAACTCAAACAAGATGTCAACCTTTTTCAATATCATCATCATCCAGATCAAGATCACCACCTCTGGGTCCCTCTTCATCATCATCACCCCCTTTTTTGTTGAGTCCTGATCTACGTTTCCTAGCTGCCTCCTCTTCTTCATCTTCTTCTCCTTGGTCTGACGCATTGCCCTCCTCATCATCACCAGATTTTCTCCTTGCCCTCCCACCACCAGCTCCACTTTCCTTGTCATCAAATTTTCCAGCTTCTCCAAAGGCAGCAGGTCCATTACTTGCTGCTTTCATCATCCATCTTTGGTAACCATCAGCAGTTTTCCTTCTGTTATTCATCTTTTCTTCTGCTTCTTCCAAAGTAAGCTGCTTGTACTGTGCAACTTTGTTGAAGTTGTACCTGAGATCATCAACAAGTTAGTAATAGTAATAATAATAGTAATAGTAGTAATAATAATAGTAACATAAAACATATGCACACGTCAGTTAGTTATAAGAGCCATCTATACAAAATAAGAAATTGATGGCATAACAGCAAACATTAATTGATTAACTAGGTACCAGGAACCAGCAGGAATGGCAACAAATTCTCTACCCTGCAACATTAGTAGGTAGTAGGTTGCTGATTGTGCACCCTCAGGATGACCATGGAACTGAGACTGACCTGATTCATCCTCCAATAACCAGGGTCTATTCTTAAACTTCTCCTGCAACATGCAATCACTTGACGGTAAAACTATAAAGTTTAGAATGAAAGATACAGGCCGTGAAAACCTGCAATCACAGGGGAAAAATTGAAAGATGTGCACTTCTTAAAACAGGGTCGCTATTAGCTTGACCAACCAAACCCTGATGAGCTAAAATACTTGATGGTCGAAAGAAGCGACATGATTGCTTAAGGTATCTAGTTCTTTACTATCCAAGTGCTTCTAGATATACTGCAATGACTTTTCACATCCAACTGGCCAACCACAAAAGTATAGCTGTAAAAGAGCGAAACTCTTCTGCAGCTCTGCTTGGTGGCTAAATATATTCAGTACATTACAAGTAATGATTAATCATTTTTACTTTATTGCATAAACTTCATGCAAATGATCAAGCCTTTTGATCTAGAGCTATCATAACTATTAAGATTATTAGATGGCATGGATTTGCCAACCTCATCCTTAAATGAATAAATAATGTTTGAGTACCAAAGTTCAGCTTCCAGTGCCGATGAGAAGTGAATAGGTACTTTAAAAAATATGTCGGAAAATAGCTACATGTACTGTCCATCTCAACGATGACTTGCTAACATGCACGAAACAGCTACCACCTACATGAATTCCATTGCTTTTATTTATTCGAGGATATTCTGAACATATCTTAAACCCTTGAGCACTGGTATCATCCTTTTTAATAACTTAATTTAACTATGTTTCACCTCTTTGCCGCCTTCTTCCCTTGACCCTATAATCTCTCTCCTATAAGGACCATAATATATAAATATTTATAATATGTACAACCATATGCCTACATTGATTAACTCGAAATCATCTCCATCGGCTTCAAAATCAACTCACTTGGATAGTTGTGTAAGGAACAAATTAACAATCAATAACATAATTTATACTCCCTCCGTCCCAATATAAAAGGCGCATTTGCGTTTGGGGAGTTTTTAAGGGTGAACACTGTTTGAACACTGTTTGACACTGTTTGGCACTGTTTGGACACTGTTTGGCACTGTTTGGCACTGTTTTGTTTGCCAAAAAGGGAAATGTGCCTTTTATATTGGGACGGACCGAAAAGGAAAGTGTGTCTTTTATATTGGGACGGAGGGAGTATTAATAACAACATTACTCGTCTTTGCAGGCCAAGTGATTCTCTTTAAGCTTATTTTTACTCCAAATTTTTGGAAACGGTTTGGTTTAAGAACAGAGTCATTAAGGCTGAACTTTGATTAAACTATGTCTAACAACTGTCCACTGTGCAAAACCAGGCTTGGTATTTTCTTTTCATGTAATACACAAAAAAGAAAACAAGCTTAAGTAGGTAAGACTAAACTTGAGTGTAGAGGCAAACAACATGATATAAGACATTTAGATACGGAGTGTTCAAATAATGTGTGTGACCTAGTTAACAAGACAATAGTAAGAGCGAAACTATGCAACTATTAGCAGCTAATAGAAAATAAAGGTGATTTAAGTAGAAAACGTGACTTACCCGCAGAGCATCAGTTACTTGGCGTCCTTGCAAACCTTCTTTCTGCAGACACCACTTGTTTTCATTCTTTTTCTTTGAAAAATTTGGCAAACCTGTAGCAAATCTCCCAATGAAGTAATTCTTTTCACTGGTAGAGCATGCTCTAACATTGTATTCCTATTAAGACAACAATTCAAGGCCAAGAATCAGCTTGTGAATATTGAGAGAAAATAGCACCTGAATCCAAAGAAGATAAGTCGTGTACATTAATTAGGTTTCAGTACATGAATATGAGAAAAGGGGAAGATACTATAACTGTGTGTGTATGTGTGTGTATTCTTCAATTTCTTCATAGTGAATGCAAAAGTAACATACTGGCTATTAGAAAAACTACTTAAAATTTTAGATGGCTCGAGCATGGCTTCTTTAACAGTCAGATTTCAATACTTCAAAATTAGTTTCTTTGAATGTTCTGCCCAACCCACAAAATTACAACAAAACAACTGTCATAACATCTGAAGAATTGTGATCAAATTACTTCTTCCATTTAATTAAATCAGAATGTGCCGATATAAGCAGGTGATCAGATTCACATATATAGGCGAACCCGAATCAAGCGTGTGATTGGAGTGCCGCACTTGTTGCAGGTGCCGTGGTTCTGAGCCATGGTTTTGCCACACGACACGCAGAGAGTCAAGTGCTTACAAGTGCTTCCGTACAGCTCCGACGACGATCCGCAGCCACTGCATGATGGCTTCAGAACCAAATCCAGAGACATCTTCCTGTTCAGATTTCTTACCTCTGCAGAAGAATTCAAATCAGGTATATCGATTACTACTGATTGAATTTATCAAACGAATCCAAAAATTAAAAGGTTTTAATTGAAATAAAATTTAAATTGCTAGCGGAATTGATAAAAAGTTACAGTGTGGTAGTATTTGTTAACTTCAAAATTGTTCTCGATTAGAGGTGAACGCGGTATGCTTCCCTGATCACTCCGGTAAGAATTGGATGACTGGGTGTGTGGGTGGGGTATATAAATAGGCTACGTACTAACAAAAAAAAGGTCAAATAAGTTATCATTTAGAAAGTTCTGTCCGGCCGTCGTCATTTGGGATGTTCCAGCTGGAATTTTTTGATGAATTTTTTTGATCATCTTATTCATCAAGTCTAGTTTACTCATACCAAATTTCAGCTAAAACTTCAATCGGAAAGACATTCAAATGAATTCATGAAAATAACTGCACTTTTAACTGCGCAGTTATCTTCAAGAATTCATTTGAATGCCTTCCCGATTGAAGTTTTAGCTGAAATTTGGTATAAGTAAACTAGACTTGATGAATAAGATGCTCAAAAAAATTCATCAAAATTTTTTACCGGGAACCACCTCAAATGGCGACGACCGGACAGAACCTCTTAAATAAGGGCTTATTTGACTTTTTTTTGTTAGTACATGGGCCTATTTGCACCTTTTCCCTATAAATAAATAGGCCGGTAAACCTAGTCAGGGACGGAGCCAGGATATGATCTGGGGAGGGGCCGGGGTGAAATTAGAAAAATATTAACATATAAGATAAAAATGCAATAACCATTAAACAATGTACTAGTTTTCTTTTAAAACATTAAAAACATATGATTAAACGTCATGGAAATTAAAATTTAGAAAAATTATTTCTTAAGTATTCACTAATTTTTTCCTCAAAAACAAAAAAAGCATTCACCAATTTTTGAATCAATTATTATATTCAAGCAATAACACAAATCTAAGTTTTATAACCGTGTTAACAAAAAAAGAATCTCATATCTAATAGATGAAAAATGACAAAATACTTAAATTACATGGATAGAAAAAGCTCCAAATTCCCATCTTTATCTCAGGTCACTGCTACGGGAGACCGCAGCATACAAGTATATCAACAGCCAAATTGTTTTTTCATTAATACTTGAACTCGAGCGTACCACTGAACTATAATTTGGAAGAATTCTAATAGGATTTTAGGCCAAATTAATAGGGGTTTAGTAACCTTGAATGGCCTGAAGCTTCCTTGTGGTTGATGACTTCTTCATACAGAGGTTACTAATATACTAGCCCAAATTAAATAATTAATACTACTAATTAAAATAAAAGTTGCGGGAGATAGTGTAGATCCGTCCCTCAACCTAGTGAAATGGTGGCAAACTTTGGACATTGACTTTAATTATTATATTTATATTAATTTATAAGTTTTATATTTTTATGAAAATATTTTGAATAAGGAACATTTTGATATAATTTTCATATTCAAAATAATTTCGTATTAAAGAATACCATTGATCAAAGTTGATTGTCATTGACCAAGAAAAGTTAATTTGGCAAACCTTTTCGATATGAAGGGGAGTACGTAATACGACTTTCGTCCCAATTTAATTTTCTCATTGAAAAATGGCTCGACTATCTAAATAAAAAGTAAATAAAGTAATTAATTCGAGTATCCAAAAGTAATTTTGATGAGTATATAGAATATAATAAGATTATTGATGATAATTGTGATGTTATAAGTGAATTATTTTTAATACTGAATGACTAATTTATCATTTAAAAATACTATTCATTTTCTAAAAGAGAAATGAAGAGTTTTAATCGGGACATCCAAAAAACGGAAGTAAGAAATTTATACTTGGGACAGAAGAATGATGTTCTTAAGTGGACTAAAATTTACTGGTCTGATCTGCTCTGATCTGGTCTAAACTAGTTTGATATGATCTGAACTGATTTGATCTAGTCTGAACTGATTTGATATAGTCTGAAGCCTGAACTGATGTCCACTCTCTATGTATGATACAAATATCAAAGTTGATCTTATTTGATCATATATGGACTGATCTAGTCTGGTGTGGGATTGGAATAAATCCAAGTAGAACATTCCAGGTATTAAGTTGTGCTATTGTAATATAGTGGTTGAGTTATCAATTCATAACCTGAAATATAGATGAAATATCAATTCAGGATCCGAAAGATGAAATGTATCAGTGTAAGACTCAAATTATGGAATATAATCAATTCAGGATCTAATCTTTCATAGGTTTTCATTTATTTAATTTTTTTATTAATTCCATTTCTAATTTGATAAACTTTTCCCCAGAAAAGTTTATTAGTTTAATAAAATTAAATAATATTTAAATTTTTTGAAAATGAAAAAATAATAAAATTCATGACAACTTAGGTCCTAGATTGATAATCTTCAACTCGGTATTATTTTCTTTCTCAGTGTAGTGAAATATGAATCTATCAATAATATATGACATTAAATAAGAAATGCTATCACTTCATACGAGTAGAGATGACAACGGGCGGATCGAGAATGATTATACATATAACCATCCCCCCCAAATAATTTCTCGCCCCCCTTATATTTACCCGTTTTACCTTTTCGGGAAATCCACTAAAATTGTCTCATACCATATTTGTTAAAGTTTATGTGACTCTAAATCATTCTTACTTTATTAATTAATATCAACCACACAAATCAACCTTTTTTAATAATCACGTCACTTTCTTCCGTCCCAATATAAGAGGGACGGATGTAGTATATCTTAAATGGCTAAAAATGACATCACTTAGATGACTGTAGACATAAGACATCACTTAAAAGTTTGGTTGTATGTCTACAAGACAAGAAAGAAGTCATCCTAAATTATTTTCAGTCTAAAAATACTTAAACTTAAAAAGTAATTAATCTCGATTTTTTTATAATAATCAAACAAGACTATTAAATATATTACGAACTTTCATTCATACACTATAACTAGTATATTCATTATCCATACACACACAATGAAAAGACAAAAATATCATTTTTTACTAGTTGTGAGACAAATAATAGATAAGTGTAATCAAAATATAACGAAAAATAAACATAGTGGATACGAGGCGAGTAATAGGGTAGACTAGTATAAAATCGTAACCGTCTCGTTATTCGTAGAAACAAAATTAACGAGTATTCTCTGCCACATACCCGTTACCCAGTCAATGTAATTTCATGCATTTTGGTCGGGACAGTTCGGTCCGAGTATCTCTAAACAGGAGTATAAAAGTAGCTATCCGTAGGGGTGGACAAAAATCCCAGTTCCAAATCGAATTATCCCGATACCGTTCCGGAACTACCACGATCCATTTAGGATGCATTTTTTTCATCCCAAACCGGTCTCGTACCGATATCAACCGGGACGGGACCCAGACAACTATACAATATCATGTCCCGTTCCAGAGTCCCGTTTAAAATTAGTAGGTTATTTTAAATTTCTAATGCTATGTAATATCCGAGCTCAATTAAATCTTTCTAGCCATTAGCCTCCTTGGTGTAATTTTATTTTATTTCACTTCTCTCTTAGTCTCATACACATGTATTTTGCTTTTGCTCTTCATTTGGTTAAAATGCTACTTGAATTGCAATGATTTTTATATTGTGAGGTTACCGTACTTAGTGGGAGGTCTCGAGTTCGAAACCCGCTAGGCACATAAGGGTTCGAAACTTAATTGAGTGAGTTTCAATTACTCCAGCCCCCCACACCCCTGCAGTAAAAAAATATCACATATATATGCTAAAAACCCTACAATGTAGACATCTTTTTGTACTAATGTTCTTGAAATGCGGGCATCGTGAGTAATACATGTTTAAGAAAAATTAGTGGTTTTGCTTAATCTTATAGGGAAGTTAAATTTGCAAAAATATTCACATCTTGATTTTGATGTTATGCTTGATTTTATGGGATGTCCCGAACCGTCCTAGTTTTTCTCGGATTGTCCCGATCTCATTTTAAGTTGGACAACATTAGGATAATGACTTATCCCGAACCGTACCATACCGTCATTATAAATCCGGGACGAGACCGGGATAAACCAAATCTCGAACCGTCCAGGACCATGGCCACCCCTAACTATCCGTCCCCAAATTGCACTTACTATCTATAGACATTTTTATTTGGTCTTTTTTTTCCCTTAAAAAGTAACGGGCAAGTTTGGCTACTTTAGCATTCACACACTTCATAGTTATTGTTACTAATAAAGTAAACTTAAGCATAAAATACTGAGTAATAAAGGAGCGAGTGATGGAGAAGGAAAAGAGAGTGGTCCACTATACAGCAAGCACCCTCTACCTTTTTATTGCTCACATCACTGCTTCGCTGCTTATATCATTTCATATCATTGCCTCGCCCACGCCTGACCGGAATCCGTCACTCTAACGCCATGGCCCTGAAATCGTTTGTTGAAGTCAAGCCCGACTCTCACTTTCCACTCGAGAACCTCCCCTTCGGTGTTTTCAAGCCTGAACCAGCTTCCGACGCTAGGCCTGGTGTCGCTATAGGAGACTACGTTTTGGACCTCTCCGTGATAGCCGCCGCAGGTCTTTTTGATGGGCCTTGTTTGAAGTCTTCTGACTGCTTCAATCAGGTCTGTCCGTTTCCTCTGGCAGATTACTCCGTTTTTGATCGGAGTATTGTATTTGTATGCTCATACTTAGTGTTCAATATCATTCAGAAAATTGTTTAATGTTTAAAACCGATATTGCAATTAAACTACTCGAACCAATTCATAGATGGAAGCCAATTGCACTATTTTGCATAAATATGTAGTGGAATGTAGTGAGTTTATGGGATTGATGCTTCAAGCGTGATTGCTGTAGAGTACTCAGCTGATGAAACTTCACTGCTAATCTGTTTAATTTTTTTTTTTTGCAGCCTAATCTTAACAAGTTTTTGCATTTGGGACGCTCTGCATGGAAGGAAGCTCGTGAAACATTGCAAACGATACTATCAGGTATCCACTTTTTAAAAAACAGGAAGGAGAAAGAAGTTAGAGTATTCGTTAGTAACATCGTACTACCTCCATGACGAGGCACAAGATTTAATAAAATGAACA